CCATGTGACTGTCGTTTTACTCCAAAATATGAAATGTCCTAACTGTCGCAGCAGCAGCAAACTGTTGGCAATAACTGCCAATCAGAAATGATATCGAATTGAGCATTAAACATGTGGTTGCATTCATAGGTTCTCCTTGTCTATGTTTAACTAGAATGATGATTGCAAACTTCTGTTGGTGACGGGTGCTCCGCCTCTATCAGTGTGACAGTTTATATGAACCGAGCTACTGCTTTTAATGCGCTTTCAGAAGACGGACTCGGCAGGTGATCAAGAGATAATTTACTTGCAATACGACTGTAGCCTCAAGTAGATATACTTCACGTTATAATTCAGCGTTGCAATAAGAAAAAAAATACTATTCTGAAAATGAGGGTGTCGATAATGCTGGGTTTATGTGGCTTCATATTTTCCGGTTGGTTCCTTACGACCAATGCTGAGGTTTTGGCCAACAGAAGCAATTCCGAAACTTTGAGTAACGCAACATCGGCCACATTTTCAACGCCAGATTTTTTACGAAACTTTACCAGCGGTGAACACCACGAAACAGTTGGTGGAAATGAAAGTGGCTCCTTTCAGCACTCATTCCAAAATACACCGAGAATGAAAACCGAAGGCAGTAATGCTTCAGCGGCGGATGCGCTGAGCGAATTGATTCCTTTTAATGTCACAGTCAACGTCCCATTCTGCGCAAGTCATGCTCTCTCGTCCACAACTGACGTCGTACCCTCTACTGACGTTGTCCTAGTAACTTGTTTCTGCGACGACTTGTGCGGTGTTTTTGGCGACTGCTGTTGGCCTTACGACCGCTACTGCAGGGAAACCAAATACACGGGAATCGACATACAAACAGAAGACATTGAATGCTGGTTACAGGGAACTGGAGCTATGCCGGAGATTTCCTTAAGGCATTTTTGGGTCGTCTCTTCATGTCCAAGGGACTGGGATGACGAAGATGTTCGCCGAAAATGCGAATTCAAAGGCTGGACTAACGACATAGATTTATTGTTGCCTGTCTCGTCAATGGAGGCAAACGTCACGTTCAGAAACACCTTTTGTGCCGCCTGTCACAAGGTATGGCCACACAAAGCATGGACACCCAAAACTTCATGCAGTTGGACAGGCGTCGAACATTTTCAAAACATCACAACAGTTGATGAAATTTTGGATCTGATTTGGAAAACGGAGGATTGCCTAATATTTTTTGATATGCCGGACCATTACCCGGGACGACCGTGTTTAGGTTCTGGAGGAAGCCACGAGAACTTAATACTCGCGGATGATGGGCTTTGTTCAATAAACACAGAGGCCGAACCTAAAAACATTTGTGAGTCTGGGCCCATTTCAGTGACCACCATTATAAGCCGATATGGCTACGGTTTCGTACGAAACATTTTCTGTTGGATTTGTCGTCTGCAGCCAGATTCTCCTGCAAGAATTATAGACTGTAACGATGAAGGTAAAAGTACTTTAGTTTTACATATAAAAATGCAAAAATGGTAATATATAAGTGTGCTACCAGTGCAGTTTAATACATGTAGTTTAATTGTAGACGATTGGACCGTTCATTCCCGTGTTCTTTTAGTATTCATACTCGTTTTAAAATCATCATGTTTAAAATCCATCACTTTTTAAATACTGCTGCATCGATATGTCACAAAACGGTTTTTGGTGTGAAACTGAAAACGTTAATAATTTTGCAATTATTTCTTGTTCATTACTCGCTGTTAAAAAGTACCCGCTACCTCACAGTAGATACCGTCAAGATATTTTGTTCGGTTAATGTGAACATTTCAGTGCCACGTTTAATTGAAGGCTTAAAGTAGTCTTTTTACTGGTAAAGAATTACACAAATTTTTCTCATTTATTTTTCTTAGATGTACCTGTATTTCAATTCAAAGTATTCGACCCGCCAGGATTTTTTGCAGTTTTAGATCCTCGCAGGGAGATGCGTTGCAAGGGAGCCGAAAATGATGTAAGTGCAAATAACTTGTTTTCAAGAAACATTTCAAGAAAGCTTTAACGCTTGTCCTACAGCTACCTTAAGCTTACAAGGTGTTACCAGAATACTAGTATGACACATTTACCTGGGGATGGAGAAGCCGAGGGAAAAGTCGTCAAATTTTTCACCTTTCTATGAAAGTCTCAAGATGGCGCTCATTTTGTCGTTTTTGTTTTTCTTTATTCCTGAATTATATCTTTGTGCATTCCACAATAAGCACCGAACAGTTAAATTTCCGTATAAGACTTAAAACAGAGAACAGCTAGCGCTGTTCAAACTCAGCTTAGACACACGATGGGACGGCTACAGCTGCACAATATCTTAAACCATATTTCATTTATGCTTTTTTGTAGGACACTTGTAAACCGGATGAAGGCTGTTCAGCGGGACAAAGATTCTGCTCACCTCCTTTTCATCTTTTGTATAACCTTCTCTTCCTGTTACATGTCAAATTCGAGACAAAACAGCAGATAAAAGAGCCATGCGAGTTTGATAAAGTTTGTTCCTTCATTTGGCAGCGTTTTGCAGTGACAGACTTGACGAGATTTTTTCCTTATGGGGCATGGGTGATGGCGAAGGACAGCCGACAATTTGACTGCGTCCTCCCATCATACCGAAGAAACTACATCACCTCTGTGATACCAATTCGGCTGCGGAGGGGCGTCGAACGTGTCAGCGACGCCCGGAGGTTGTTCGAAAAGTTTCTGGATGAAATGGATGCCTATCTTCATCAAATATTCCCTCAACTTGACTACAGCGGGGTAATCTTTGAAGCCAGCGTTGTGAAGAGCCGCAGCTTTGCTGAACCCATAATGAACACGCCTCCGTCTGGCAAAGAGACTATAGGTCACGCGTCTTCTGTCCCACCAAGCCGTTTTCAGTGGCTTGTTATGCTAACCGCTTTCTTTACCCACCTACTGGTATCATTTTATATGTTAAAATGCATTTGGTCTGCAATCTGACAGCTAACGGGCCTATTTTATTTGGATTGACGAACGACAGTTTTTGGGTTAGCGAGGAAATGCTAAAGAGTCTGAGGACCATCACCGCATTTGTGAACATTTTAAAGCAAATTAAAAAAAAGAAACTTTTCGCCCGAGCTTCTTCCACCATTGTGCCCCCTATGCCTCAGGTTCTAAATGCCGGCGCGTCAATAGGGGTCACCTTTGGCTCCTTATTTCCTGTTTTCAGAGATCCATTGATACCAAAAAACTGTTATGTACTTCTTTGGAGCAAACGTTTTTATCAAAGCAACATACCGGTACTGTCCCTTGTAATATATGAACGTTACAAATTAACAGGCTGTATTTGTGGAGTTGCATTGAATTTTTGATATACATGCAGATATACATGTATCACAGAAATGATTCTCTAGGGAATGGCGCTAGACGTGCAGAATGGAGTTGCTGTATCTTGACGTTTTTGTTCAGCCAAAGCTGTTGGATCGAGACACCTGAAAACATGTTCAAACTTACAGTTGCCCCAACGCATGTCAGAAGAACAGTGCGTGGAGCGCAATAAACAATGCCATCGATTTTGACGGCAATTGCCCCAACAATGACGAAATAGAAAAAAAAAAAGGAAAACATCATTACTTGTCCCAACCTTTTGGGCAACAGTGTACACACAAAATCCATGTAATTAAAAGATGTTGTAATAAAAATAGCTTACAAAATGTTACTTAAAATTGACGGCAGTGCTATATAATAAACCTAAACAATGATTCTTTTCATAACTACTGATTTAAAAATTACAACAATAATTTGTTATTATCAATATTATCCAAAAGACTTGTTATTTTTAAAACTTTCGTTACCTTCGTAATTAAATACGAAATCTCTCCATACTGGCAAGGCATGAATTAAAAAGAATTCCATGATAAATCAAAAAGCTGGATTTATCTTTTCTGTAACCAGAGTTTTAGAAATAATAGAATTCGCGAATATATCTTTAACTTCATTTTTTTGCGTTTTCTTTTCTTCAAATGAGCCAAATGTTGAGAATCAGCATTTACCTAATATTTTACTCCCCAGAATTTTTTTTTATTGGAAAAGAAGTGTTTTTATTTTCGATTTTATAAAGGTGTTAGTTTTTTACCCTTTTCTCCAAGTTTATCAGAAGTCCCTTACATTTGTTTCAGTTGAGATGATGTCCTTCGGTGCTACAAAAAAAAAAAAAAAAAAAAAACTTTATGCATGTAATTATATAAATTGTAGGCCTTCAATAGCTAGATCTACGCCCCTAATAAATAAATAAATAAATAAATAAATAAATAACCCCAGCCTTGCACTCCCACCTCACCTTTACGTACGAGAAAACTGAAGTTTTGCTATGCTTGAACATATGAACCTAAATGTTTCTAATGAGATATTTAAAACATATTTGACATCTTGATTTTGATTATCCATAAATGCTAGAAATCTGGGCCTTTCGTTCAGGTCCTAATTACAAACCGATTAAGACTTTATCTAACTTCTATCACACACAAACTCAAATATATTTTTTTTAATATTAAAATTATAAATGACACATAAATAAATAAATAAATAAATAAATAAATAAATAAATAAATATATTTTAATTAAAAAGGGTTCTATGCACTATTTGGAAATGTATAATTTTACAGTGCATGAATGCCTTATCGTGCAGGTAATAACTAAGACAATAGGTTCTAATCCTGATACCGTTTTCGTAGAAATACATAGTATACGTAAATCCTCGCGTAGGCTGAAAATGCGATCTTTTAACCTCATCGACGGAAATTCCTTTCAGAATCTAATTTACCCGCTTTGCTTTTTGACGCATTTTAAAATACATCCCTACAAATATTATCTACAGTGCGTCAGAACACAATTTGTTAAGTTATTCAAATTGCATTAGATGAACCAAGCACAATGTGTGATACGGAAACAACGCAATATATTTCCCTCAGGTGATTCGTTTCTAAAAATAGCAACGACCTCATCGGAAATCTCTCATGACACACAGACAGAGCACAAATAGCTCTGACGTAGTACACAAGGGATGGATTGCACGGAGTGACAACGCTGTGTCGAAATTCCTGTATATAAAGCTAGTATTTCACATTTTACAGACTTTATGATGAGTACAATGGGAGATTCACAATCTAGACCGATGCTTATGGTAAAGAAGAATCCAATTGTAGACGATTATAGAATATCTAACCAAGTGTTAGGACTAGGAATAAATGGGAAAGTTGTCGAGTGCGCTCACAAACCAACTGGACAAAAGTACGCACTGAAGGTAAGTGGTCCGAAATATATTTTTCGTCATTGTTGAAATCAGGTGTACGTCGCTCAGGGATTAACACTTGGATTAGAAATGAATTTAAGTATAAGAAATCACCCGTGTCTGAAAACTTGAAACTTTTTTGAAGAGTAAGAAACTTACTTGAAAAGTCCGTAAAAATGGGATCCATGGTGTTAATCTTCCCCTCGAGTCCAACATCGAGTTTACAACTGTTTATACTTCTAATTTGACTCTGTACTGAATCATTGCCAGCTGTTGTGTATCATGGTTCTTTTTTTAATTGTTAATCACCATTACACCAATGAGCCATTTTTGGTATTATCAAGGAAAAGAGATGGATATTAACAGTTAACATGTATTCTCTTAACCCTCTAATATTTAAATATCTGGGTATTTTTAGCTGTCATGTCAGAGAGATGAAGGCTTAGTCCTTAGCAGAAAGCTCTGAAAAAAAGTTTGTATAGATGATCTAGTACTTTGAATACATCATTGACAGGACAGTGAAGTTTCAGACGATGGCATCATTTTCATTTTTCTAAATGAGACTGGATTGAATATGGAAACAAGGAACTCCATTTTACCAAGAACTTTCTCTTTTGCTAAAAGGAAGGGCCACAGTCAAACAACTACAATAATAATTGTGATATTAATAAAGATAATTTTCCATCATGTTCCTGACGTTATTTTATCAGTGACAAAATAAGTCGACTAAATATAACAAATTAATATTTATTATATATAATTAAAACGGCAGTATCTTTATATAGAATTTAAGGTCACAGGTATCCTGTTTACTTTCAAATCAACCATTGTGTAATACAAGACATGAAAGTACTAGTATTTGGTAGTCATAAAGGGATAACAACTTTTCATATGAGATTCAAAATTTCAAAATAAATATTGTAAACAATAATGGAAATATAATATATTCCTTTTTTTGCAAAGACAGCAGTTCTCGCAATTATTCTGAAATAATATTTTAAGAAATTATTAAAAAAAAAAAGATATCAGTTAGCTTTGAATGAAGAAGAAGATTCATTACATATTGGCAAGTATGGAAAAATTGTTGTTTACCCTAGGAAAGGCAATTTCATGGTATTTTTCCTGCCAAAATGAAGAGTTGTTATGCTTTTAGTATACCTTACCTACACCATTCATCTTTCCATGAAGTACAACATTGTGGTTAAGTTATAACTTAACAAGTGAGCTAATATATTATGTACAGATATCATGAACACAGCTAAAGTATTTACTATCTGTTAAAATCTCATTGTCACATGTTTACTTTCTAAAGACATGACAGCAAGCATTTATGTACAAGCAGCCACTCAAATAAAAATGAAATAAAGAATGTCAGAAATGAAATGAAACAGTACAAGACATATATCATTACACCTACTAAGTTAAGGTCAATGGCCTTCGTCTCGTTGGATCATGTTCACATGCACACACAAAGACATAAGTGATGATACTTATTTTTAACCTAATACAACCTCAAGGAATATTATCACATGACTAGTGGAATATATTGACATTGGTGGTGAGTGTCTCCAGAACAATGAGGAGTTGATAACGTTAACAAGACTGGATTTTTTAAGGTCCACTTTCATCTCTGTCTTTAAGAATAAAGAAAGCATCCATTTTGCTGAGTCAGTAACAATTTCAGACTACATATTATTCTAAATGAATTCAAAGCTAACATGCAGCCAGCACAAGGTAAATAGCAATTTCAATACTAGCTGTTGATTGAAGACAAATTGCTAGAGTTTTTGTTCCAAATTTGAAAAATAAAAGTTGCTGGTCTGGAGTAATGTCAGCCCTCTTAATTGAGCTTTAAACACTGGTACTGTAACTGTATTAACTGTAAACTGGTACTAGTAATTGTTTTAATTTTTGATTTTTTCAGGTGTTACGTCACATACCCAAATCACAGCGAGAAATAGAACTCCACTACAGGGCAGCGCATGGCTGTAAAAACATAGTACAAATCAAAGATGTGTATGAAAATACATATGCAGGCCAAAAATGTCTTTTAGTAGTAATGGAGTGGTGAGTATCTGTGATATTGCTAGTTAAAAATATGTTGTGACAAGCAGTCAAGGTGCTGTCTGACCATAGGGTCTGCTTGTAGTCTATTACAAAATTATTCCACTTGAATTTTGTATACTATTTTAGAGGTCCCTGTGATATGAGAGGGTGAAGTCAAAGCATGTGATTATGAAAGTGTGGATGTGATGCAAGACTCACTTGTAAATTACTAATATCTATGAATACGTTGTGTAAGTACTGCCACAGGGGCCCCTCCTGTCTCTCTGTCTCACTCTCTTTCTCTCTCTCTGTTTTCTCCCACTTTGTAGCTCCTCCCCTGTCTCCCATTTCCCCCTAATTTTCTCTCTCTTTTTCTCCCCCCCCTCCTTTTGCTCTCTGTCGTTCTCTCTCCCTCTCCCATGAATACCCAGCCTTTAATAGAATAATGACAGATGGAAATGTACTATATTTACACACGACCCATGTGCACCACCAGTTACGAAAGCAGCCAGTTTTAGATATATATACCTTCCGAGTGCTTCCCTGATAAAGGGCATTCATATCATGCTACTGGTATTTTCTTAAAGGTCAAAATTCTGACATGCAAGTACTAGTAGGAACAAACCATTCAAGGATTCACCTGCTAAATAAAGAAGCAGCAAGGAAAATATTTTCTCTTGGCACATGAGTCATTTTTATTTTCTCTTTTTATTTTTTTTTTTTTGTTAGTTTTAGGCACCACACTTGTATTATCAGTCAGCATGTTTTATGGTTATAACTTATTATAATAATAACCTTGAATATGTGGTGCATTGTTATTCTTGTAACCTCTCCGACCCATTTTTTTTGAGGTGTGGGAGGTCGGAAGACTAAGCCTATCTCTTATAATTTGTCACTGAACACATTGAAGATTTCGGTTCTGATTTAAAGTTCAAATGTTTAAAATGCTAAAATGTTCTTAGTATAAAAAATTTGCCAATTCCGTTGGCAGAGTAAACCTGTTGTGCAGCAGAAAGGTCTACTGTTACAGTAATATCTCAATATGGTATAACACCCATTTATTGCTACAGTTTAAGTAACTTGAATATATATGGTGTGGGGTTTTTGACATGAAGTTGTAATAAAGCTCATTCTTGGAAAAATAGTTTTAACAAATAGATGGATAATATATTAAGCCAAGTCAAACATTTTATCTTTGAATTACCAGTGATAAAACTGATAAAAAAAGCAGTAAAATTATGTATTTTGTGTTCTTAAGTTAAACTGAATTATATTTAGAACTGGCTGAGATAGATAATGTCGGGTATTGTAGTTATTTCACACATGATATAATTTTTATTAATTCATTTTTTAATGTATTTTCAGTATGGAAGGTGGAGAACTGTTTTCAAGAATTCAGGAGCGTGCAGACAATGCATTTACTGAAAGAGGTAAGTGGTATGTAAAATAGGCTTAGCTGATATTAAGACCGCAGACTGAGCTTGGTTCAGAGGCGTTTACACTTGGGCAGGCTTAAACTGAGGCATTTTTATAGTTGTTGTAACTTGTAGTCTAATTTCTGTAAAAGAGTTCTGGTGGTAGACAAACATGCCCTTGAAAGTTTTATTTTCCCATAATTACCATTATAAAGTAACTATTGATGTTTAGTGTGTGTAAATTCGACTGGACGTGATATGTATCTTAACAACAAAACTAATGTCAAATCTTTTTGGTGACAAAATAAGATGATAAAGGCTATTTATAGTCTAGAATTGCACAATCTCATAAGACTTGCATCACAAATGTGTGTGTAAAGCCTGAAGAAAAATGATCATTTTATTTCAAGTTGATAATAAAGTGTAGAGGTTGCCTTGGCAGTGGCTTATTAAGGATCAGCGACTTTTGAAAAGAGGCTGCCAGAATTGGGAGTTTAAAGTTAAGCCAGCTTATTAAGCACTGCTCAGCCATTTCCTTGTGAGTTGCCAACGAGGCAGGTGCAGTGAGCGTAAACACACAACAGCGCTCTCAGACCTTTTTTTTTTTTTTTTTGCATTCTTACACCCAGACATAATTTCTCGTGGATGACCTCATCACGGAGGCTCTTCCAATGGAGAGGGGTGATAGCCAGACGATAATTTTACACATAGCCAGTGATAAATAAGAGAAAATTTATCAAATGAATGTTTCTTTAGTCAGACTAAGTGATCTTGAAGCATTTGTACACAAATATTTTTTTCCATGCCAGCATTTACTTCATATTTATAAAGGTTGAGTAATTTTCACCTCGTCAGGGAGCATTTATTGTAAGAGGGGAGGGAGGAATTGCATTGATACTAAAATGTAATTTTACCTGATAGATTGTATTTTTGACCTTCCCCAAGTCAAAGCTTACAAAAATTGTGGAATTTTCTACAATCAATACACTCAGTTGGTTTTAGGTTTAGACTGTGTCAAGAAGTTACAAACTCAGTGAGTTATTTAGGCCACACTAAACCAACATGACCTTATGTTAGGATATGGATAAATTTATAGAGTGCAGTGGTGATGAAAAGGTGTACTATGTTACCTTGTGGTTACCTGGTGTTTGAGGTAAACTTTAATGGCATGTTTTGGTTGCTCTTTTAGCTTGCCAATTTATAATATGATTGTACTGGGACATTAAATCATTTTAGTCAGATTTGTCAGACGATGAATGAAAATGTAATTTGATTTTATGACAGCACATGTCAGCTATTGATTCTGAAATAAACTATTATTATCCATGATTTATTTAGAACTAACAAGATGAATGGGATTTAGAAAACTGAATACATTTAAATGAAAAAGAAAATAATATAATAAAACCAAATAAAACTAAGTAAAGAAGTAATCATATTTTGGTACATACTAGTAGGATATTACTTGTATGAGCTTATGAAACTTCATGAAATCCATTTTACCATATTTTCAAAGAAAATGGTGGAAAATTTTGTTTCACCCGCGACATTTTCCTGTCATGATATATTTTATGATTGCTGAGATTACTATGTACGTGACCCTGCCCTAGTTTAGTTCAAAGACAGGTTGTAGTGGTCTGATAACCAGCTGTAACATGAGACAGTGTTACATGGTACAGTAGAATTTTAAAGTATGCAGGAGTAGGTGGCAGAGCTGAAGATTTATGCTGTCTACACCCTATTTAGATTCAGGGTGTACTTTTTGTTATTGGACTACTGAAAAAGAAAAAAAAAGGATTGGTGACAATTTTCATTTATGGCATATTTAACACCCAAATGAAATCAGTAAAAAAGATTTTTTTTATATACTCTTTGCTTCAGTGCATTGACATTAGTGGGTATTGTTAATCTTCACTGAGATGTTGGTGTCAGAATGTGGGTCAAAATGGTGTTTTATCTGTTACAATAAAAAAAGACAAAATTGTGAATCAAACGACTTGGTCTTTAAAGGTACATACAAACCGAGCATTGGTGGAGCGTGGATTCCCAGTAACACATGTAAACCACTTCTACTAGATTCTTATATGACTCAAATAAATTCGACATGCCAAGGGATAAACTGAATAGATCACTCGATCAGCCATAAAAAACCTTTAGACTGCTCCTTTCTTTAAATTTATGGTTGTAAATTTAACCTACATTCGTGACCTACTTTCCTGCCCCATTGACATACAGCTTAGAATGCCAGCAGAAAAATCCGTTCAAACATCATTTTTGGGTAAAATTAAACAATGCCTTTTGGTAATTCTCTTAGTTATACTACTTGAAACTATATGCTGGCATTTGGTAGGTTTTTGTGACAAAAAATTGACTTTGTATGCATCTTTAAGCCAACAATTTCAAAGGCGTGGAGTGGGGCCAGTGCTTTTTCTGAAAAAGTGAAACATTTTACCCCCTTAAGTGACTGAGTTTGAGAAATGACAAAATGTGGAGATCAAAAGATTTAAAGTGTACCTCTAAGGTGGCTTTTTTGATCCTCCCCTCCCCAGCGCACACACACATCTGCCTATGAGTCTTTTATTTATGATGATGATAACATGCTTTCAATTTAGGGAAAAAAAATGATAAAGATATCCTAAAGAAGAAGTGTACTAGTGCCAGTTTCATTTCTTGCAATGCAATGATACAGATATGGATGGTTATTGAGAACAGAGCAATGTCCTGTTAACATGTCAGGATTACTGCTGCCCTACCATTAAATAGGACGTGTGGAGCAGACAGAAAAAGATCCATAAAAAGATCTTATCAGGATATTCTGTGTGCTTAGTGATATGTACTCAGGCTGGTCAATAATCAACTCTACATTCATGCTGGTTCAGATAAGGGACTAGGAGACACTGATCTTTGTAAAGATGTGTAGTAAAGGGGAATGGTTGATTGTATTACAGCATGCAGATACCATGATAAGTCTCTGAAGATGGTAATGCACAAATAATGTTTAATAATTTTTTTATGTTAGTAATGGTGATCAAATATCAGTATTTCTCAAAAAGTAACTTTTCTGAAAGTTTTTAAGTCACGAGTTTAGGCTAGCGCTTTTCAATATTCCTGCCAAATTGAACTACAGTACGCATATAGCATAGCTTTTAAAAATACAACTTTGAAGAGTCAAAGTTCTGCCTGTAATGTAAAAAGAACACCACAGAGTGCTCCTTTTACTGTTTACTCCACATGAGTATATCACTAAATTTGCTTTAAGGCAGAAAACGAAACGAACGCCACTCCACACGCTTGCTGTGTGAACTCGCCATTGATTGCATTGTATGAATAAAAATGATGAAAGCTAAGGGAAATGGGAGGAAAATCTGGGATCCCTGTAAGCACTGCAACAGCTTTATTAACTGTACAGAGATTTATCTAAGTGTCCGTCAGGGCTGCCATGGTAACTAATGGAATGATTTTATAATCTCAGGAAACCACCACTGGCTAGATATTCTATGAGGCAGTGGACCACCTGTGATTCTCGCCCTCAGATTCAAGCTTTATATACCATATCAGAACTTCAAGAACGGTTTCGCCATTTTTCTTAGTGATTCCGCATTTGTCTGCCTAGTCACGAGTCCAAATGGGCCAATTTGTTGTCTTGACAGATGCGAGGTTTCTTTGTGCTATTTATATTGAGACTCGAGGCTTCAGATCAATAAGTTTTTTCTGATGCTGATTGATTACTTGTATTGACTTACTCAGTTCTGAAATCAAATGTTTTTTACTTCCCTACTCAGACTGAATGCTGGGTCACTTAAATAACATGAAATATGAAAGAGACATCTAGACATGCTGAATTTGTCTGGCACATTGGTCATAAAAAATTGAATATTCAGGGGCTTTTAGGAAATTCAGTTAAAAGTTTTGTCCTGGGAACCCACAACTTTCTGAAGAGGTGCCATTTAAAAAGAGTAAAAATTCTGATAATAATTTGATCAAAAAAAAACAAAAACAAAACAAAACAAAATGATAGTGACAATTAAAAGAACACAACGAACTAAAATTCAACAACTGAACTGGGTCAAGAAATTTTAAATTATTCAAACTTCAAAAAAAAATTAATCTTGCTATTTATAGACCTGCCTGGTTTTAATTAAATTACATCGGTGTGTTTAAAATCTTAATGACGGTCAGCATTTTTTTTCATTGTAGAGGCAGCAGGTGTGATACATGACATCGCCCAGGCTATCCACCATCTTCATTCCATGGACATAGCACACAGGGATCTCAAGGTAAGGGTTTTTTTTATTAAAAACATTTATTTATGTATTTATTTTATAATTATTTAATTTTTTTCTGAAAGATAAAACACAGACATGATGAAAATTTGAAAAAAAAAAGGGCTGTCATGAAAAAATTTGTCAGACCAAAGGACTTTTTGCAGAGCTGTTTGCAAATTCAAGATGGCTGGTCTTAAAATTGTGGCACGNTAAACAATGCATTTTGGTAATTCTCTTAGTTATACTACTTGAAACTATATGCTGGCATTTGGTAGGTTTTTGTGACAAAAAATTGACTTTGTATGCATCTTTAAGCCAACAATTTCAAAGGCGTGGAGTGGGGCCAGTGCTTTTTCTGAAAAAGTGAAACATTTTACCCCCTTAAGTGACTGAGTTTGAGAAATGACAAAATGTGGAGATCAAAAGATTTAAAGTGTACCTCTAAGGTGGCTTTTTTGATCCTCCCCCCCCCCCCTCCCCAGCGCACACACACATCTGCCTATGAGTCTTTTATTTATGATGATAATAACATGCTATCAATTTAGGGGAAAAAAAATGATAAAGATATCATTAAGAAAAAGTGTACTAGTGCCAGTTTAATTTCTTGCAATGCAATGATACAGATATGGATGGTTATTGAGAACAGAGCGATGTCCTGTTAACATGTCAGGATTACTGCCGCCCTGCCATTAAATAGGACGTATGGAGCAGACAGAAAAAGATCCATAAAAAGATCTTATCAGGATATTCTGTGTGCTTAGTGATATGTACCCAGCCTGAGTACATATCAGGATATTCTGTGTGCTTAGTGATATGTACTCAGGCTGGTCAATAATCAACTCTACATTCATGCTGGTTCAGATAAGGGACTGGGAGACACTGATCTTTGTAAAGATGTGTATTAAAGGGGAATGGTTGATTGTATTACAGCATGCAGATACCATGATAAGTCTCTGAAGATGGTAATGTGCAATTAATGCTTAATAATTTTTTTTATGTTAGTAATGGTGATCAAATTATCAATATTTCTCAAAAAGTAATTTTTTTGAAAGTTTGTAAGTCATGAGTTTAGGCTAGCGCTTTTCAATATTCCTGCCAAATTGAACTACAGTACCCATATAGCATAGCTTTTAAAAGTACAACTTTGAAGAGTCAAAGTTCTGCCTGTAATGTAAAACGAACACCCCAGAATGCTCCTTTTACTGTTTACTCCACATGAGTGTATCACTAAATTTGCTTTAAGGCAGAAAACGAAACGAACACCATTCCACACGCTTGCTGTGTGAACTCTCCATTGATTGCGTTGTATGAATAAAAATGATGAAAGCTAAGGGAAAATTGGAGGAAAATCTGGGATCCCTGTAAGCACTGCAACAGCTTTATTAACTGGATAGAGATTTATCTAAGTGTCCGTCAGGGATGCCATGGTAACTAATGGAATGATTTTATAATCTCAGGAAACCACCACTGGCTAGATATTCTATGAGGCAGTGGACCACCTGTGATTCTCGCCCTCAGATTCAAGCTTTATATACCATATCAGAACTTCGAGAACGGTTTTGCCATTTTTCTTAGTGATTCCGCATTTGTCTGCCTAGTCACAAGTCCAAATGGGCCAATTTGTTGTCTTGACAGATGCGAGGTTTCTTTGTGCTATTTATATTGAGACTCGAGGCTTCAGATCAATAAGTTTTTTCTGATGCTGATTGATTACTTGTATTGACTTACTCAGTTCTGAAATCAAATGTTTTTTACTTCCCTACTCAGACTGAATGCTGGGTCACTTAAATAACATGAAATATGAAAGAGACATCTGGACATGCTGAATTTGTCTGGCACATTGGTCATAAAAAATTGAATATTCAGGGGCTTTTAGGAAATTCAGTTAAAAATTTTGTCCTGGGAACCCACAACTTTCTGAAGAGGTGCCATTTAAAAAGAGTAAAAATTCTGATAATAATTTGATTTAAAAAAAAAACCAAAACAAAATGATAGTGACAATAAAAAGAACACAACGAACTAAAATTCAACAACTTAACTGGGTCAAGAAATTTTAAATTATTCAAACTTCAAAAAAAAAAAAAAAATTAATCTTGCTATTTATAGACCTGTCTGGTTTAAATTAAATTACATCGGTGTGTTTAAAATCTTAATGACAGTCAGCATTTTTTTTTTCATTGTAGAGGCAGCAGGTGTGATACATGACATCGCCCAGGCTATCCACCATCTTCATTCCATGGACATAGCACACAGGGATCTCAAGGTAAGGGTTTTTTATTAAAAAACATTTATTTATGTATTTATTTTATAATTATTTAATTTTTTTTTCTGAAAGATAAAACACAGACATGATGAAAATTTGAAAAAAAAAAAGGGCTGTCATGAAAAAATTTGTCAGACCAAAGGACTTTTTGCTGAGCTGGTTGCAAATTCAAGATGGCCGGTCTTAAAATTTTGGCACATCCATTTTGCATTGGTCCTTGAAATTTGGGTCAGTTATGACAGGCAAGAAAGACAAATTCATCAAGTCTGAAAACTAGGTGCTTGCATGTTCACTGAACTGAAGAGGTCTTTAAGATTTAGTAATTTTTTCAGAGAAATTGGCAAAATTTAAAAGACTGGTGTACTTATTTATGTATTTATTTTTAAATGTGTTCATTTCAGCCTGAGAATCTACTCTATGACAAGAAGGGACCAAATGCTACTCTAAAGCTTACAGACTTTGGGTTTGCTAAACAGACCTCCAACTCTTTAAAGTCGCTTCAGACACCTTGTTATACACCGTACTATGTGGGTAAGTAACCAGCAGTGGGTGGAACTGGGGGGTCTTCCTCTACTGGCAATACTGTGGATGTACCTAGACAGGTGCCTTCTCACTTGTTTGCCAAAGAAATAAAAAAGGGTCAGATCTATTTTTTTAATGCTGTTTCTGATGTAAGTTCCTCCTCCTCTCTCTCTCTCTCTCTCTCTCTCTCTCTCCTTCTCTCTTTTCCTTTCTCTCTCTCTCTCTCTCTCTCTCTCTCTCTCTCACACACACACACTTTCCCACTTTGCCTCTCCCCTTAATTAAAATTCAAAGTCTTTGCTAACACTTACTGCTCATATGGAGAGAAGATGATTGGTAATTGGTAACCAATTATCTTTTATCCATGGTAAATGTTGCAATGGGAATACTGAAATGGGTTGATCACTAAGGTAGTGAGGGTTAACTGGCAGTTAAGCATGCAGAATAAAGCATGTGACGGCCCCAGTAGAACAAAGTGTTATTTAAATAGAGATATGCTCTTAGCTGCATTTCCCAAGAGTGGAAAATGTGACGTCTCATTTATTTTCCAAGATACGTTGAATGCTGAATGGTCTGATATATTGGGTCATCATTAAGTCTGATAAAAAATTGATGGAATAATTTCAATAAGAAGGAAGTAACTGAAATGCTTTTAGCCCAGTAGTTAATATGTCGTCGTTGCTTATGCCTCATTTTGGTTCTTAATGTTGGTCATTGTTCTACTCAGTCTGTGGTTGCCATCTCTTCTCTGTTATTGTAATTTAAAAAAAAATCGAGATACATATTAAAAAAAGTACGAATAAAGCATGTAAACATAATCAGGTACTCTGATCGTGCTACCCAGAAAATTATTTTGATATATATATATTAAATGATTCTTCCTTCTTTCCAGCATACTCATATAATCAGCAGCTTTTCTGTATTCTCCTCAAGGCCAGTAGGCGCGTTAATAAGTCATTATCAGCTGATAACATTCAGCAAGAGTCCCCACAGAGTAAGATCAATCTAGGTAGAAAGTTAGCTTCATTGGGAGTGGGCCAAAAGATGCATTTCTAGCTAAAAGAATGTTTACGACAAAAGCTAAAAGAATGTTTACGACAACTTTATTTTGAAAAGTTCAAGGGTAAAAGAAACTGAGAAGTATCGAGGTCTTGACGAGTGCAGTGATATTTCCAGAGTCGAGTCTTGTTTTTCTCATTGAAGGTGAATTTCTAAGAAATTATGCCATAGAATGAGTAAGATTTTTACTTCTCAAATAATTATATTACAGGATATTGCTTATGAAAGGATAAAGATATTATTTGCTCTTGGAAAAAAGCTTCCTGAAGTGTGAAATGGCTTTATGCAACACAACGAAGGTGCTGTTACAAAACCCTTTATGTTTTTGAGATTTTCAAATAATGTGATGTGCAGGAAATCTGAGATATCGCTAATGAAAGGATGTGGATATTTTTGTTCTTGGAAACCACTCTCTCCATACAGTGTGGTTTTCATTATGTCAATACAAGACTTAAGATTGCACGTTGATTTAAGGAAATGAAGTGTGAGAGATTAGTAGAAAGTTTGATGATGTAAATTGATTGGTGTCCAATAATTATTTCAAGGAAGTTATTATATAGGCTCGAGTTAAAGTGTGATGAGCTTTCAAATTGGCATGGTTTTGATAGGGAAGTTGAGCACGTGTTATTCTTGATCCCGTTCTGAATAGGAAAAACTGTGAATCCAGCAAAATTTATTTTAACCCAGAATAAATTGGTTCCCAAATTGTTTTTAATTTCCAGAAAAAAAATACTTAGTCCCTGTTTAAGTTATACTATAAAGTTAAAACCTTTAAAAAGGTGTTAAAAAGAAAATAAGAATATCACTTTTATAATTAAATAACTAATACCAATTTTGTCATTTTGACATGCAGTATATATCCTGTAAAATTAATAAATTGATATAAAAACAAAATTTTAGAAATGTAAATATTACTGATAAAATAAAACTTGTGAACATTACTACAGTAGTGGTAGGATTAATAAGATGGCCATAGATATCATGTTTGTGCTATCTTATCTTCTCTGCTTGATAGAGAACAGGGCTAGAGTACTACTGTTTCTCTTTCTACGCCGCATTGGGTATAAATTAGAAATAATTGGTCTCAGTGCTCGTGCTTGTTCTGTTACTAGCTGGTAATGCAATGCTGCAATGTTTGATATTTGTGGTCAATTATGATCATTAGGTGTATATTTGTGGTCTACTGAACCACTAAATATCCAATCTGTGGGTAGTGTCATGAAATAATGAGTGCCATCTCTGTAAATTTATTTGAAGACAGGCAGGGAAGTGGTGATATAAAAATATAAGATTCTGTTTTGTAAAAAGTTTTTAATTCAAGTAATATAAGGAATATGCTGTCCCTTATGGGGAGTGTGGGGGGGAGGGATACACGATAGTTTGGGGNTGATCATTAGGTGTATATTTGTGGTCTACTGAACCACTAAATATCCAATCTGTGGGTAGTGTCATGAAATAATGAGTGCCATCTCTGTAAATTTATTTGAAGACAGGCAGGGAAGTGGTGATATAAAAATATAAGATTCTGTTTTGTAAAAAGTTTTTAATTCAAGTAATATAAGGAATATGCTGTCCCTTATGGGGAGTGTGGGGGGGGAGGGATACACGATAGTTTGGGGATCATGGAAAAATATGACATATCATCAAAAGATACAGGACAGATAATGAGTTTACGTTTGAAATCAGCTTTGCTGGAGGTGTGGCTTACACCCCATTCTCATAGATTAGATCGACCTACATTGGATCGACCTAACTCCCTGGGGGTTCACGCTAAATAGCTGTCAGCCGGGCGGACACGAAAGTTAATTACCCCTTAAAGCTTGTAGTAGGCGGGGACGGACACTTAAGGGGGATTATCTGACAGTAATCTAGTGAGACTCCCCGCGGTGATAGATCGATCTAAAAGTTGTGAGAACAGAGCCTGTACTGTTTCATGTAATGTACTTTCTGGCCAGTCAGATTGGGCAATTTTCATCAGGACAAGTTAATGGATTTCAGTTCCTTATTCTTCACCATTTAGTCATTTATCATTATGAGTTATTTGATAGGCAGAAATTTATCAATCTAAGACAAGTGTATTGGCAGAAATTTATATTTCTAAGGTATTTGATTTGGCAGACATGTATTGTTATATGATTTTTGATTGGGCCGAAACTGATCGTTCTAAGATATTTGCTCTGACAGAAATTGATCATTCTAAGATATTTGACTTGGCAGTATTATATCATTCAAAGACATTTGCTTTGGCAGACATTAAGCATTCTGAGATTCTTACTATGGCAGAAATTGATCATTGTAAGACATTTGAATTAGCAGAAATTTTTCATGATATTAAAATATTTGATTTGGCAGAAATTTATCATATAAGGATATTTAAATAAGCAGCAATTTGGCATTCTAAGATATTTGAATTAGCAGAAATGTATTATTCTTAGACATACATTTATTTAAGTTAGAAGAACACTATTTTGACCTCAGGTATCAATAGTTGTGTAATTGGGACTAATACAGGGAAATAATGGCAAAAAGAAAATTTGTCATAATTGTTGATTGTCATTTCTCTGCCTAGTGTTCTGTTCATAGTCAGTTTGAATGTCCTACATAACATTTCTCATTTNATACATATGGAAATCATGTTATTAATTACAATAACGTAGCATGTTTTAAATGAGTGATTGATTCTTTGCATGCTGTGCCCATTTTCAAGGGGAAAGGAGGTTATCAGAAAGCACAATCTGTAGGATTAAGGATTATTTTTAATAAACATGGAGTCTTTTCATTGATAAACTGTTGAATGCATGTTTTTTCTTCTTGTTTGCTCAGCTTTAGACCAGGTCATATGCGTTGCATTTTCAACACGAAATATATTCTCACCTTTTAAGAGCAATTCAATAGATACAAGAGATAATGACTACATTCCTTCCAAGTCCCTAACGTCAAAGTTGTTTTTAGATATATACACGTCAACAAGATAAAAGTTTAAGCTTTTCTATCATTTGAGTCGTCTAGTTTTGTGCAAGTTTGAGAGATATTACTTAAAATAGTGAAGGGAGTGCTTTGTAATTTTGTATTTTCATTGGGTAGTGTTAATGTGTGGGTTTTAGTTAAAGGTAAATGATATGTGCGTGGACATTATCAACCCTGGCACATACCAGAATAGGTGTGAAAACTTACGTATTTCTGGACAAAGAGACACAGGTGCTTTTTCTTTCATTTATATCTAAATCAGTTCAAAGTTCTCGAACTAGTATTACAATTTTTTTGTAAGATTGATCTACTATGTTGCTTGTCAGAAATTCTGATTCACAAAATGATTTAAAAACAGACGGAGGTTTTCCTATTGGGATCATAAAGTGAGCTGAGTACATATGTTAATGATTAACACCTGTAGTAATACAAAAAATAAAATAAAAATAAAGACTTAGCATTGCTCAAGGAAACAAAGAAAATATTGGGAATTGAAATGAGTTTCTGTAAACCCAATTGTAATCACAAACTTAGAGAGAGACAGATCTCTCATAGTCCATTACAATGGTTGACATTTCATGTGAGAATTCTTGATATGATTCTTTGTGAGCTTTTCCAGATAGGTAGTGGTGACTTGAGATCAATGTAAATGTCTCATCTTCTAAATCATTAATTGTATTTATATCCACCTTGGAATTCCCATGTTTTACACAAAATAGGTAATATTCACAATTATTCTGCTCATATCTTTTATTTTTACACAAAACCCCGTCAACAATCTTAACTTACAAGTTAAAAAATCCTAAATATCATCTGTCTCATATATTTTGAAAACAAGCAGTCAGAATAGGCAATTGTCAATTCGTACAAAGGCTTCAAATATTTATTCCAAAGGAGTCCTGTCTTTTTAGAAAATTATCAAACTCATAACATTAACCAACTGTCATTTATCAGAATTTGCCCTCTAGATAAATGTCTGTGGCAATTGGGAGCAAATCGATCATGAACATGTGCACCAGTGCACCCCATCAATTGCCTTTCTGCTCTGAGGTGAAACTCTATTTCACCTTGGGGAATTGTCTCCCAGTATTTTCCTTTCCCTGTTCAGGACAGTGTTGACCATTTCCCATTCAGGAAACATTGACCTTTTCCTATTCAGGACAACATTGACCTTTTCCCATTCAGGACAACATTGACCTTTTTCTATTCTGGACAACACTGACCTTTTCCTGTTCAGTACAACATTGGCCTTTTCCCATTCAGGACAACATTGACCTTTTTCTATTCAGGACAACATTGGCCTTTTCCTGTTCAGGACAACATTGACCTTTTCCGATTCAGGACAACTTTGACCTTTCCCTATTCTGGACAATATTGACCTTTCCCTGTTCAGGACACTATTGACTTTTCCCTGTTCTGGACAATATTGACCTTTCCCTCTTCAGTTCATGGTGTCAGATCCTCTAGACTTCATTGTGTTCCATCTTCAGTCATTACTGCTTGGGAACTGAAACCACTCATTTAAATTGTCTGCCCATTGGCTTCAGCAAAATCTCTGGTCTTACGAGTTCCCAGTTCAATCATTAGACAGATGCTCCCCACCAAGCAAGATTTTAGAAAGTTAAATGTTATGAAAGTTAAAAAATTAACTATTCTTAGACCAGAGACCAATACTGCCTTTTTGGATTTCAGCTTGGTGACAGTTTGGACCACCATGACCGTTCAGACTTTTCAAATCAGTTTCGCTCTGACTGAACCTAGTGTGAGTGCACCCTGATAGTTGGTTTTGTTGATGGCTGGCTTCATGCTGAAGACCACTTCTACATTGACTCTTGACAAGCTTCATCATTATTTCACCAGTGTCAAATGAGATCAATGCGACTTTCACTGAATATAGATTTTCTTTCTTTTTTGCCATTGGGGACTCATTGGGTTCACTGAATAGGCTGATGTTGACATTCATGGCTGTGTTTTGTGTCTGATGTTATTTATTTTTTGGTATTTCATTTTTTTTTTCTATTACTAGTATGTGATTGCATGTTTTCATGTTTGTCATACACCCAATGTGTGAATAAGTAATATATTTTACGACTTTTATCACATGCTCTTCAACATAATACTGTCTGCTAAGAATAACATTAGTTTACTTTGGCTTAGTATTTTTTTATAACACAAACAGTCTTACATGTTTTCTGGTAGGCATTTTCAGGCAAGATCAATTTTGCACAGTGTTAATGGAATAGAGCTCATTGTGGTTAAAATCCTAAAAAAATTCAGCATCTTGTAAGGCACTTGTTTAGTATGCTGTAAAAGAGTTTGACACATAACCTTGATCTAACCTCTAAGTTATCAGGTATGTTTTTTTTCTCTGGGCAAACAGTTTAGGTTCTATTAGTCGGCAATGATTTCCCAAATGAGCATCATATTCAGGCCTTGATGTTATTGATGTAATGAGATCTCACTGACATTTTTGCTGTACAATTAATGTGATATGTGATATTGTAGGGAATTGTACTCATCCTCCGTCTCCAAGAGATTTTTCCAGGATTTGGGGCTTGGGGAGTCAAAAATGTGAATCTGTAATTATGGTCATCGATTTGCAGGGAGCCCAACCCAAGCAAGCTCAACCAACCAACCCAAAAAATTGTAAGCTGTTCGGCTGTCTTTGGAAATAGAGGCTGTTTTTAAGCTGGATGGCTCTCTGGGAAAAGCCCTATTGGTCACTGTTACTCGTAACCACTGTAACTCTGAACCGTCAGTTCAAGTTCTTATTTATATTTCTTACTTGTATTTTAAGAGACATTTTATTGTTTTCAGATTTTTACGTTAAATTTTTTAAACTTCGGTAGGATGTGCCACCATTAAGGCACAAATTTATCTTTTCTCTGATGTATTAACAGACATATGTGAAAATGGAAAATTATCGCAGTTTATTCATAGTAGAGATAACATTGTAGGCGAATATCTTAAAACTAGTGGAACTCGGGGTGGATCCAGACCCTAGTCTTGAAAAGACATATTGAAGATTAGCATAGTCTTTATCTTCTTCGAAAGACCTGTCATTTGTAAGAATATATAGACACTTAGAAGTGATTGCATTCGGTTCTTGGAACTCTTGACAGAAATGATGTGAAGATCTATTCTGAATCACCAAGTTTGCTACAGGTTACCTAAGGTTTAATACTATATTAAAATAGACGCCCACGTTACAGGAAATACTAACAATTGTGCAAACTGCTTCATCTATGTAAGAAGATGCTTGTGTTTGGTTTGCACTGAAGTGCTGTTGATTACGAGGATATTGATATACCTAGTAGGTGTCAGCTGAATATCGGACATGTTACTGTCATGACTTTGAAGCATGTAAACACCTTAGTGTCTACTGAATATTGGACATGTTGTGAAATTTATATGCTGAGTATCTACTCAATATTGGACAGATAATAATTTTTTTTTGATTCTCACTGCCAGTTTAGCTTGATGTCAATTATATGGCTAAAAAAACTAGTTTAACAAACAAGTGAATGGTTCAAAGCAAGTGAAGAATGAATTTTTTGAGCCAGTTGATTTTTGTGCCAGCTTTTTTTTCTGTAAAATAGATATTTTCAGCTTTTAATGAAAATGTTGCTCACTAGTCTGCCAAATCCCAGACTTGAGTTATTGTGGATGAAGATCAATAGAACTGATTTTATTTTCTGTGAAAAGATAATTTCCTAGGATAAAACTATTGTATCCAATATCAGAAAGTGATATTGATTCTAATGTCAGTGTGCTTAAATGTCAGTTGATGCAATTCCTTTGGGTTTGCAGCTGTTTTTCTAACCTGTTTTACCAGATTTTTTAAAAGAAAATATAGATGGTGAGGTTCCTGGTTTTGGACCTTGACCTTTGACCCCTTGTTGTGAGGCTAGTTCAGACTGATACCAAGGTCATTTCACAGAAGAAGTAGACACTTCTTTATTTTAACCCCTCAATTTGATTGATTTTGTGCTTTTCAGCTAATAATAATCATAAACATCTGGGTAATACTGGCTCATTTATTTAATATTTAATTATTTGTATTTGGGTAAGTTATTAAGGTAAAATGATGCCATACTATAATAATTTTGTCAGATGTTTGTACTTTTTCAAATAATTCTTGCATTTTCCTTTCATTCTAGCACCAGAAGTTCTAGGGCCAGAGAAGTATGACAAGTCCTGTGACATGTGGTCTTTGGGGGTCATTATGTATATATTGTAAGTATCAATGGTTTGTGACATTGCAATTATTGCCATCTTCTCAGCAGATTTTCTACTTACTTTTTTTCTTCTAAATTATTTAACCAAGAGCTTTGCTACCTTTTACTGAAAAAAANATACCAGTAGGCCTTTGCTTCCTACTACCAAATCTAAAAAAGGTAATTTCGGTCGATGCCATTTTGTCTACTTCGACTCACACGTAACAGCCAACTATCGGGCGGCCTGTCCGACCTTCAGTCCACCAAATACCACGACGCTCTTGTCGACCCTTTTTTCGGTACAAAAAAAAACCTTGGTAAGTCTATGTGCTGCTTTGGACAGAATGTCACTGAAATTTTCCGGGCGATGATCGCTGGCCACGGCCAGCCTTTCGTATAATTGTAAAAAGGTGATATCTCCATGTCCAATATCAATGGCAAACCAATCCAAAATGACGGCCCCCGTTCTCTTTATGACTTAAATTGTCGTGTATTTTGAAATTAATGCTAGAGATGAATTTGACGGCAAAGTGGCCATATTTCCACGTGGTGATAATACGCATGCGCAGAAAGCTCATTTTCCGCACTCGGAACTACTCGGATGTCTCCGCAGTCGACAATGACAGCATGGAGCTTGCGGAATTAGCCGAGGATTGGGGGGGGGGGGAGGATTTTTTTTTTTTTTTTTTTTTGAGAACGGACGAAAATCGGTGCGCGCGCAGGATGTCATCCATAAAATTAAAAAAGTGTGGCCTTACTTGTATTTTAAGGGACATTTTATTGTTTTCAGATTTTTACGTTAAATTTTTTAAACCTCGGTAGGATGTGCCACCATTAAGGCACAAATTTATCTTTTCTCTGATGTATTAACAGACATATGTGAAAATGGAAAATTATCGCAGTTTATTCATAGTAGAGATAACATTGTAGGCGAATATCTTAAAACTAGTGGAACTCAGGGTGGATCCAGACCCTAGTCTTGAAAAGACATATTGAAGATTAGCATAGTCTTTATCTTCTTCGAAAAACCTGTCATTTGTAAGAATATAGACACTTAAAAGTGATTGCATTCGGTTCTTGGAACTCTTGACAGAAATGATGTGAGGATTTATTCTGAATCACCAAGTTTGCTACAGGTTATCTGAGGTTTAATACTAAAAGAGACACCCACAATACAGGAAACACTAACAATTGTGCAAACTGCTTCATCTATGTAGGAAGATGCATGTGTTTGGTTTGCACTGAAGTGCTGTTGATTAACGAGGATATTGATATACCTAGTAGGTGTCAGCTGAATATCGGACATGTTACCGTCATGACTTTGAAGCACATAAACACCTTAGTGTCTACTGAATATTGGACAAGCTGTGAAATTTATACACTGAGTATCTACTCAATATTGGACACTCAGATAATTATTTTGTTCTTCAATTTAGCTTGATGTCAATTATATGGCTAAAAAACTAGTTTAACAAACATGTGAATGGTCCAAACAAGTCAAGAATTAATTTTTTGAGCCAGTTGATTTTTGTGCCTGCTTTTCTGCAAAATAGATATTTTCAACTTTTATTGAAAATGTTGCTCATAAGTCTGCCAAATCCCAGACTTGAGTTATTGTGGATGAAGATCAATAGAACTGATTTTATTTTCTGTGAAAAGATAATTTCCTGGGATAAAACTATTGTATCCAATATCAGAAAGTGATATTGATTCTAATGTCAGTGTGCTTAAATGTCAGTTGATGCAATTCCTTTGGGTTTGCAGCTGTTTTTCTAACCTGTTTTACCAGATTTTTTAAAAGAAAATATAGATGGTGAGGTTCCTGGTTTTGGACCTTGACCTTTGACCCCTTGTTGTGAGGCTAGTTCAGACTGATACCAAGGTCATTTCACAGAAGAAGTAGACACTTCTTTATTTTAACCCCTCAATTTGATTGATTTTGTGCTTTTCAGCTAATAATAATCATAAACATCTGGGTAATACTGGCTCATTTATTTAATATTTAATTATTTGTATTTGGGTAAGTTATTAAGGTAAAATGATGCCATACTATAATAATTTTGTCAGATGTTTGTACTTTTTCAAATAATTCTTGCACTTTCCTTTCATTCTAGCACCAGAAGTTCTAGGGCCAGAGAAGTATGACAAGTCCTGTGACATGTGGTCTTTGGGGGTCATTATGTATATATTGTAAGTATCAATGGTTTGTGACATTGCAATTCTTGCCATCTTCTCAGCAGATTTTCTACTTACTTTTTTTTCTTCTAAATTATTTAACCAAGAGCTTTGCTGCCTTTTACTGAAAAAAAAAAAACAAGGATGGTTCAAGTGAGAGAGTCTGTTTTTTATTTCTTCATTTTTAAAGCAGTTGTTTTTTATTATGTTGAAGACAAATTTACAGGGTAACTATGTCAGGATTGATTTTAGTACTAGTAGTTGTTTACTTAATGCATATCCTTGATAACAAAAGTAACCTTGAGAATGATTGATGTCTGGCTTGTATAGACTGAATTCTGCTTGCTCCATGTGGGTGTGAATGCATAGAGAAAATAAATACATTATTCATTGACAATGCACTGTTTATTGATCTGTTTGTTGTGTACAGCGTAGTGCCCAACTCACACTGCGAGAAAAGTGCTGAGCTACCAGTTTCATATGCTCTCCTCATTATTTATCCTAACCTGACATACAAGCTACGGCTGTTGTTGTCCATAAAAACGGAACTGCCTTGAAAGACTTTCAAATGTAATAACCATGGGCACATTTAGAACTTTTTAAAAGACAAACCAGGTTTCATTAGTCTGGCTAAATTTGACCACTATGCTAGGTTACATGTGTTCATAAAACCTTCCTCTCGTTTTCCTTCAGATTATGTGGCTACCCTCCGTTCTACAGCAATCACGGTATGGCCATCTCACCAGGAATGAAAAAGAGGATACGAAATGGACAGTACGAGTTCCCTAACCCTGAGTGGAACAGAGTATCCAAAGATGGTAGGTTGATCCGGGACACACAAACAACTTTAAAACATTTAATTTGTGCTTATGTTCTCATTCAATATGTTTTTAGGTGTGATAAATCGATTTAATTTCAGTAATTATATTTATTACGTTAATTATCCTGTGAACAAAATGCCATAAGGACACCTTTTCAAATAAAGATATGTGTAGCCATTATACATTGAGCCAAGGCCATAATAAAGGGAAAAATCAAATAACAATTTAATACTAGACCGTCTTATCTCAAATAACATTTGCTCTGACCTCACTCACCCCTTCATTCCTATTTTTAAATGGTTTCTGATTTGTACTTTGCATGAGTCACAGTTCAATTAACGCTCTGATTTTCACCTTCCTTCCAGCAAAAGACGTAATCAAGGGACTGCTGAAGACTGAGCCGGATGATAGGTTGTCCATAGAACAAGTGATGAGACACAAATGGATTTGTGTAAGTTTTCCTCTTTAAAAAAAAAAAATTGCATTTGGGATGTATTTTTGACTTCCAGCATGAAAAAGTACCAGGTACTTGGAAATTATCCAAATTATTTCGATTAGATGCCCATATTTGAAATGGTGCGTGATATTTCAAAATTTTCCCTATAGCAAAAGCACAAGGATATTTCAGTTCTACATCTTTGTATCAATCGGGCGACTTTTTTTACCTATTTTCAAAGGTCAATGACTTCAACAGTTTTGAAGTTATTGCAATGGAATTTAGAATATTTTAGGAAAATAATGTTTTTGATACATACTGAAAATTTCATGACTTAACCATTCTAAGTTTTTAATTTTTTTCCTTTTTTTTTTGGTAGCAAAATACACTGGTTCCCCAAACACCTCTGTTGACAGCGCAGGTTCTGAAAGAAGACAAAGACACCTGGGAAGAAGTACAGGTGAGTTTTATCCCCAATAGATGGCACCACAACCTGGTCCATACAAGACATGCCCGTATCTGTGTGTATAGCAAGTGTTATTATTTTATGAGTGCTGCATGGTAAAAGTGGGATTGTAGAAGCATCTCTCATCTAACTTTTATCCTTGGAAGTACCTTCCTGTGTACTATATACTAGTTAATAGCAACCAAAAAGGGAAGAGATGTATTATATGCAGGCACTGGCACTATATTCCACACTTTGCTGTACTACTCATTTCTGTTATTTCTTCTGGACATTAAAATACATGCTGTTTCATGTCTCTCTCTTCTCTCTATTCACTCCACATATAAGTTCACTTCAATTTTTTTTCATTTTATTTTCCCACCATAGGCCAATATAGACACCCTTTGTTGTGTTCCCCCTGAGAAGACTAACGTGGAGGCTATTCATGTAACTACTCTCAGAGTATTTTATTGCTTTTTAAAAGTTTCTTTATGTAGTTTTTCTTCATGCCAAAACCTGTTGCATGCTCATGCTATTTTCCTTTTTTTTTCATGGTCATGCTCACCTTGTTTATTTTACAGCATTAATTCAACGTGTTTACCTCTTTTCATGTGAGTTTAGGTTTTTGACCCAGCTATTTACTTTATGCATGTGAGTATTTGTGATTACATGTGTATATATGTTTGTGTCTGGACGTCTGTTTGTATGTATGTTTGTTTGTTTGTGTCATTTTGTCATAATAGAGTTATGAAAACATGTACACAAATATGCATTATGCTTTATCACCATAGACTAGCTCACATGGGCAAATACAAAATTATTTTTATTTATTTATTTATTTCCCCCAAAGTATGAAAATGTCTATACTTTGATAAAAAATAATAAATCTTTGACAGATATTTGTTGGTTTATAGTATCTTTATATAGCTTTTATAAGAAAATACATTTTTGGCCAAAAGAAAAATAATATTCCGAGGAGGCCTGTTCTAATAAACTCTGACTTATTCCCTGCTGACCATCTTATTCAAGTGACCATCTTATCTTTGCAGGAGGAGATGACCAATGCTCTGGCCACAATGAGAGTGGACTATGACCAGGTGCACATTAAAGACTTGAATACAGCCAACAACCCTATCTTAGCCAAGAGGAAGAAGAAGCAGGAAGCAGAGTAAAGGCCAGCACACAATTATTATGTCTCCAAGGTGGCCATAATAAGGATAATGATGATAAACTGTATTGCTGTGGATAACAGATAGATGAACCAAAGCTTTGTGTGGGTGATGCCTTGACAGGAAGAAACACTAGGACGGATGTTGGATTTTTAGCATACCTGTAATGTGAAGACATTGATAACAGTTGGTGGCATCCTTAAACACCATGGTTTGTAAGCATAGAGAGCCCGCAAAAAATGTATTAGTTTTACTGTGTATGGATATGGAGTGTGGATATAAATCGTTGGATATGACAGTTAATTTATAAATACTGACATGCGTGATATGGAAGTTCAGAAATGACGAGGATTGAGATTGTAACGTTTATGTTGTTCATCTGTCCATGGAGACATTCTTGGCATGTTTTTTTTTTTTTTTTACAATGATCTGCACATAGTAAAACTGTATCATCTGATTGGTTGGAAAATGCAGGCACTTGATTGGTTTGATAAATACAGCTGTCTGATTGGCTCAGACCTGTGGGGACATTGGTGTTATTGCTATCCAAGCTGGCAAACAGTTGAAAAATCATGGTAAACAATATTATCTTCCTAGAGATAAGGGTATGTCATTGAATTTGTTGGTTCTGGTTGGAATTTTATCCTCGTATCGTGTGAAACTATCAACAGAAATTGGAAAGTGGGCTTTGGCAGCAGACGATGTTCTGCAAAAGAACAGGAAAATCCATGGGAATAATATGATTATAGAACTATCTGTTAGTTATTATTTACAATTGAAAATTATCCAGTTTGCTAAGAAAACAGCAAAGAGAAGAGTAGTTATGGAAAAAAAAAATAAAATGAGGTAAATTCAGGAATATTCCATAAGTCTTGTATACAAAAAAAAACTTGTATTTATCAAACGTTGGCTATGTTGTGTTCATTATGAAAAGCGGTAAAGAAAAACGAGTGAAAATGCAAATCATGTTTTGGATAATGGATTAGAATGGCTTGGTTTTAACCCCATAATGAAAATTAAAGCAAACATTTGATGGTGCCAGGAAACCTCACTGTTGATAACTGGTACAGAAGTTTTATTATTTTACCAAATACATACAGTTGATGTTTAAAAAGCCCAATTTGGAATCTTAATACTTCATATTTTGTTTCAGTAATTTTAGTTTGAGATGATTGCTGAGAAAATTTCCCAGAAAATAGTCCTGTACATAGTCACAATAGTTTATTTGCTACGTGACAAATCATGTAAGTGAAATGTTTGTCCCTGTATTGTCTGTCATGTGTAGTCATTGAAATTAATTAAAAGAAAATAATACCAAATCGCTCCATGGCATTTAGTAATTTATGATTCAGATTTTATTTAACACATGTATGCACTATTTAGTTGCTTTGCAAGAAAAATTATGTTATTGGTAATAATAAAAGATGTATGATTTATATCTAGCTATTGGTTAACTAGAAATCATTTGACAAGTTGTCCTCTAAAGTTTAAGCTTTGTTTGATTTGCCTTGCCTTCTTACTCAGTGAATCGTAGAATCACCCTATGACAGCTTATATTTGAATTTCAGCTTCAATCTTGAATTTATTAAATTGCCATAAATCATGTCAGTGTACAAAAATGAATAAAATTATGATTACATTCTCTGTAAAAAATTTACATGTTGCTTGGTTAATATCTGCACAACCCCATTTTAGTTTTTTCAAGCCATTTTAATTAGTTGGTGTGTTGTGCTACATTGTAATTAATAGTGTCATATTTTTAGTTTTTATCACAAACGCAAAATCATTTCATTGCCATACTTTGTAGTACTCCTACGAGTGACATGTTCAAATGACAACACCAAGAAATAAATGCAGAAAATAACTACTTAAACTGGTTTTTATTTTTCGGAATTAAAAATGATATAACCACCGAAAAAAAAAAAATCAGCCTTTTATTGCCGCTAATCGCTTTAAAAGTTCTTTCTCTTCTGGGGACCCCTTTTTAATGGTGATGGCATAATTTGCGTCAAAGTTTAAGGATTTTGTTTTCTTCATACGATTGAGCATTTCCTCCGTGAATGCTATTTCTGTTTTCGCCAAATTTACACAAGTGTCGTTGCCGTGTCCACCGGGCCTCAACCGGTAGCTGAGCGCATTTGGATTGTACGTTTTGTAAAGAGGATCGTACATTTTATTTCCGGTAATCACGTCCAAGACGCAATCTGCCTGCCATTGCTTTAGTTGAGATCTGAACGCATTCACCTCCGCGGCCAGCTTCTCCAAGCAGAATTTCTTCGCATTGGCCCAGAATGTGGCGTTGAAATACTGGTAAAGCATAACGTCGGCCTTATTCCATTGTTCTAGCCGATGTTTTGTGGCATCTGATATGGTCCTTTTCGTCATGTTGCTCATTATGTTTTGTTTAAAGTAAAGAATATCGTGATTGCTCCAGTTAAGCAGGTCCCTCATGAGAATCAGTGACTCGTCAAAATATTCAGCAATAAGGACAATGTGGAAACGTTGCTCAATTTCTTTAATTTTACCTTCGATCATATTTTCGTCGTTCATATCTTCTTTCTTTAATCCCAAGTCAAACATCATGACATTTCTTACAGGAGAAACTTTCTCCCATTTGTGCTCGTACAATCCGGGATTTTTAGAAAAAGTTTCCAATGGGTCGGTTTCTCCTGCTATTTTGAACTGCCTATCTAACTGATAATAAAAGAAGTATGATTGGAATACCCGTATAGGGTCTCTTATGACTGTAATGTATATAGTTTCTGACGGCATAACCGTGGCAACATTTTCGCTGTATCTCATGTGGTGACATATGACGTCATAGGTTCCCCTCGTGCTGGGATAAGCAAAATCCTTTCTGAAGAAATTAGGCCAGCCTAGTTGCGCTGAACCTAGCTCTTTAAAACCTAGAGCTATTGTTAGGTTACGTTCAAGTGCGTACCGAAGAAATATGTTCTGGACGGTGCTACTTGCGGCTTTATGGGTCTTCAGAAAAACAATTTTTGACGCTGGTTTTCCCCTTGGTTCCACGCTCCACGTGTTCTTACATTCAGTTTTCGAGCTCGACGTCGTAAGATCGTCGGGATGTGATGTAATTTTCATATTTTCGAATTGAGGCGGATCTGTCTTCTTGGATATCTCACTCATTTTCTCGTGTGACGTCACCCCTGTGGACCCGACTGTCACCTCATCGGCTTCCTCATATGATATCATGTTGATGACAGGCGATTGTAAAATCAGAGGTTCATTTGATTCGTTGTGGCTAATAGAGGCCTCAAAATATCCCAAGTTGCTCGCGTAATTTGATGACGCCATTTTACTCAAATAATTTGCTGACGTAGATTTACCTACAGGATCTGATGACGTCACAGTGTGTTGAATGACCCATCCCAGTCGCACTATCAATGCAGTAAGAATAAACAAAAGGGTCGCTTTTAACTGCCATCGCAGCCTCGGAAGAAACGTAAAGAGATTCCCTCCTTTGGGCATGATGAAAATTGTCTTCACGCTTAATCACTGAACTTATCGCCTGGTGTCTGCCCCAGTGTAAAACCGTACAGGACGTGCGTATTGTTAACGGCTCACATCAATTAAAACACGTGCTGCTTTGAATTCCTCTTCTACCTTCATCCCCTTTTTTCCAGTGTCCAAACTTCCTCTATATTGCTACAAGGGGGCAGTGGGGGGCGTTAGTCTCTCGCAGTGTCCCCGTGTCCACCGAAGTAAACGTTCATGTACGAAACTACTTACTTAGTACCTGAATCGCCCTATAACACGGTCCACTGTGGCAGTAAAAACACTCTTGTTAACTTGAGTCCATGGCTGAGATTCAACGTAGATACATATTATTAATTTTAAACATACTTCTTTTGACTCAAAGGTGTCAATGAATTATTCTGCGTTCATCACCATTGCACGGTAGTATTGTCCACCTGTCGGCCAAGCATCAACTGAACTAAGCATAGATAAAGAGATAAGTGTCGTCGCAGTCGCTGGACTCGTGTTCAGGTAGGTATATCGAGATAATCCCCAGGCTGGTTGGGTCGTGGCCCATTCAATGTGAAACAAGTCGTCATCCATGTATACAAAGAGGCACAACGACGCACGTATGGTGTCATCAAAATATGCAAGGAGGCACACAGTGTGGTGATTGTCTCTGTAATGTGCCCAGTATGCATATCTGGAGCTTCGATTCATGTCATCTTAACTAGGGTAATGTTCCGAAGCATGCATGCGTGATGTAGATAATGCATTGTGGTTTTAAACGGCTAGTTAAATTACAATATAACTTGGCATTAGGGCGTTGTATAATTAAAATTTCGTTAATTGTGTCTACTTACATGTATGATGTACTTAGCTTGATGTTTTCTTTTTTTTTAAATGAATCATGAGATTTCAAAAAGAAGTACGGTATCAGAAGTGTTGATGACACAGTATTTACACAAATTTATAACGCTCACATATGCATTTCGCTTAATATAATATTAACAAAAATGAGAGAGAGAGAGAGAGAGAGAGAGAGAGTGAGAGAGTGAGTGAGTAATAAAAAACTCGGTGATAAAAAACTCAACGCAATGTACGAAAGAGATGAGATGTGACTTTTACGCTAATGGAATTTTTGTCTAATGGATTTATTGCCTATCTGTTACAGAAGTGGAAATAAAGTAATTGTTATTACAAATACCCTTCGCCAAACACATATCTTCACAACTTTTTAACGTTATGAATCCTGACGGCTATTTAACCCAAACTAACAACCAAGGCTGTTACCTGTATAATGACAGTACTTCGGAGGGCGGTAAGTGTCCACAATTTACAGTTAATACTAAAATTATCAACTTAAAACTGATGATTCAGTCCCAAGACGATAGCCTGTCAATATATATATATATATATATATATATATATACATATACATATACATATACATATATATATATATACATATACATATACA